GTGTGTGTGTGTGTGTGTGTGTGTGTGTGTACACAGTGTGTGTGTGTGTGTGTGTGTTGGTATGAAATAAGATGGAACTTTATTGATCTCTGTGGGTAAAGTGGGTCAGTGAAGCAAACACAAGAAAAGAAAAAGAAACGAAAAAAGAAAAGGCTGTCACACAGAAAAAAATCTCTATAAATACAGAAAACTAATTAAAACAGAATAAAAATAGTTTGGATCACAAGGATGAATTTGAATTAGCTAGTTAGATCATTTATTTAAAGTAAATAAGAACTAACAAGCAGGCAAATATGATAAAACTTCACTATCCTCTGAGATTAAAGTGAAAACTCTGGCAATGAACTGAATTCATTTCTGAATTAGCTCTAACTAAACTAAACGAATAGATTTTCTACTCTACACACGGACCTCAGTGAACGTTAAATCTATTGTTTGACAGACTTGTTTCGTGTTTGTCTCATTTGGCCTGTGTGGTGCTCTCTGGTTGTTTGTGTTGATGATGTTCTTCTGTTGCTTTAATCTCCTCGTCACGATTGTAAATGACCTCACCGCACCGCCGCTCGATTTCTGTTTGTTTTCTCTGTCGTGATCAAAAGTAATGATTCCATCTGCAGCTCAGCAGCTTCGACTGTAAACAAAGTGTTTCCTCATTCAGACGATGAACAAGAAAATGTGTTTATCAGAGCAGTGTGTGTGTGTGTGTACTTATATATTTGTGAGGACCTTACAGAGTGACTGATCTCAGGTGTAACACACTGTCTCCGCTCAACTGTCAATACACACAAGTGATTTTCACAGAGACCCATTGTGTGGGAGACGCTCTGGACACTGAGGACACACTGAGGACACACTGAGGACACACTGAGGACACACTGAGGACACACAAACAGTTGACACATACCTGAAATCCCTCTCTTTAACCAGCGCGGGTCCTCCAACACAATGAAGAAGTTTTCGTGTTTTTCATATTCCTCGTCATCAATGATCCTCAACTGGAGCGTCTGACTGTACACACACACACACACACACACACACACACACACACACAGACAAAATTAGCAGATTAATTAAAGCAGATTTCACTCAATCATCATCTCAACATTCAGACGTTGTATTTGCTCCTCTTCAGTGTGAAGGTGCTTTAGATAAGAAGACAGGACATTGTATTTAACTCTAATTCATCTGAAACACATCGTGGGACTGGGTTTGATTCCTATATGGTCAAATACAAGTGAACGAGACATGTGTTTATTTGCTTCATGTGCATGTTTAACCTCGTGCTGATTATTCGGACCAACGTGTAAAACTACGTGTCATCACCTTTTAAAAATGAGACATGAAATAATTACTTAACTCCATCAGTTCAGGAGCAACATCCACATCCGAAGAATCAAAGTCCGACCTTCATTATCTTTTATCTCGGTTTTTGGTCTCCACCACCTCCTGAGGGAAACTATGTCTCCACCTGCTGGTCTCTGACTGTAACTGTCTCTGTTTAGTGTGACGCTGTCTGCTAAAAATAATGAATTTTGTCGCAATAGATAAAAGACTTGATCTGGAAATGATAAACAGTGAGCTGCATGTGCAGGATCCTCAAAAGATCAGAAACTCTCCACTCGACAAACGTGAGCGTCCAAAGACAAGAACAGGTGGAACATCCTAAAGGCTAAAGGTTCTGACAGTGATGAGGAAGAACCGAAGTGTTAGAAGATGAGAGACAAAAACGCCATCAGGACGTCGGCCATTTGCAAAGTATGAGGAACGATGGCTCGGTACTGGAGGAGAGGGTGAAGATGAAGTGACGATGACAAGACCTGTTAGTGTCTCCGAGGATCGCCGGAGTGAAATGTCAGCACAGAGAGCAGCTCAGCGAGAGCAGAGCAAAATCTACACTGACAACAGACAGAGAGGGAGAGATGGATGAGAGGGAGAGAAAATTATAGATGGAGGGAGAGATGTGGAGAGGAGGAAAGTGAAAGTGGAGAAGTAAAGTTAAAAAAAAACAGGACAGAAGAGGTTGGTTATGATGGAAAGGACAGAGGAGGGAGGTAATGAAGCTGGTGAAGAAAGAAAGAGACTCAGCAGAAATAACATCGAATGATCAGGAGACAAACTATTAAAGAGGTTACCTGAGTAACGCCAGTAATAACACCTCAATAAAGTTTCAAGGTGGATTTTGAATTTTACACATAGACTGTGAATAAGAATGGACGTGACAGCTTCCTGAAGGCCAAATCATCCTGATCGCCCCCTGGTGCCTGGCTGCAGTGTAGGTCATAAACTAGGCCTCCTCCATGATAGTAGACGGGACATGGACCAAACTCAAAAGTCAAAGTTAACATTAAATAAAAAAACTTTTAAGAGTCGGGGTGAAACATCGTGTTTGACAGCGGAGACTGACTGATTGATTTGTGTTGATGATCTTCTGATCGTTACGGTTCAGGCTCCAAATGACATCTTTTTTGTTTCGGTTTGATTTCTGGACAGTGGGAGGAAGAGGAGACGCGTCTTTACAGACAGACAGCTGGACAGATGGTCCTGTACTCGTCCCAGGTGGATAAAAAAAGACACTCACACGCTCTGGACATTTTTCTCCTGGATTCAACCTGAATCCATCATTTTGAGGTCTTCATGATTCTAAGGAGCAAAAAACTGACAAAGGTCCCTGAGCTGAGGACAGAGTCTCCTCACAGGACAAAGACTGAGAGGTAAACACACTCAGTCGTGCTGCACTGCAGTCACTGAAGTATTCCCGATGAAAGTTGCGTCTGGAGGTTTGTCGGTGCATCATCAGTCATCGAGGAACGTCGTCATACCCAAGCTGAGGAAGGTGGTGAGGGGCAGAGGAGCCAGAGACAGGAAGTGTTCCTGACATCTGGTTCGAGGCCTCGGGTGAAGGTGTCACAGATTCAGACATGCTGCTGTCAATAACCTCTGAGAGAATACATTGGAATGAATCAACCTTGAAGAGCAGAACCGAGGCGGTGTTGGTGGTGGAGACTGAAAAATGAAATACCCCGAGATCCATCCTCTCCTCCATCACCGTCTGTCTGAACTCTCTGTCAAAGCAGGCGTCAGTTCACATCAGCTCAGAACAGCTGGAATCAATATCACACAAACAACAGTCTGACCCAGTTAGTTCAGGTGCTGCACATAAAACCAGGCCTCACAAACACGGAGGCAGGAAAAGATCCGTTAGACAAACAATCGTTGGAGAGATTCAGTCTCTGGACGATTGTTTTACTGTGTGACATCTCAAGAATGCTTAATTTCTCTTTTTTAAATCTGGCCTAAATGTACTTGGACTCTGTGGCCACCAGGAGAAGATGTGGATAAGTGTCATTCAGTCTATGTTTCTGGACTTTTGACTCACGTGGTTTGGTCGTTGGTGAACTCCAGCTCTCCTCTGGCGTCCTCGAAGTCTTCTCCAGCCTTGGCGGTCCCTGACTCGGTGTGGTACGGCAGGATGACGGTGCCCCGGGCGCCCGAGTTGCGAGCCACCGTCACCTCCATGGTGCCCACGCTCTCGCTCGTCCGCACCATGCGCTCGCTGAACGTGAAGATGCCAGCGTGGTCGTCGTCCAGGATGGTCACCGTGGCGACCAGGGGCTCAACCAAGCGAGCTTTGGGGGCAGCGCCCACTTCGTCGCTCTCAAACATCCCCTCGGCGTCGCCAACACGCAGATTCAGCAGGCGCACGAAGAAGTGTTCGTCCTCTTCGAATATGTCATCATCGATTATCCCGACCTGGAGACGCAGAGAGAGACCGAAGGTTTATTTAGGCCTGAAGGATCAGAGGGTGAGTTTAATCAATACAGTGAGACAGCAGCTGTAAACATGTCTTAAATATTTCTTCCAGTTCCAAACTGAATCAATAATACATGAGACGTCCTGATACAGCAAAGAGGGTCTAGTTGTCCAGTTTCCAGTGATTCAATGATTGAGAAGCTGCCTTTGATTCTGTCAAACCTTTCATCTGCAGCACACTAAGCGTTTTGACTCGTGGTTCAGATGATCGATTTGTTATTCTTACAGGAAACCCAGCATCAGGTGCTGTCAAGCAACATGTAGTTTCTGTGTCTTTAAACATGAAATATGAATTTTTAATTTCTCATCTTCATCATTCTGACTCCACAGATCTTTCTCATGTTTCACATCTTCTTCTCTAAACAGCACATGTGAGATGAATGAGAAATGGATGAAATGAAGACGTGACCGGGTCAAAGTTGTCACTCATCCCAGACTTGTATGATTATAATGTGAACTGCAGTTTAGTGTCAAGCTCTGAATCTTAAGTGAATTTACACCAAGCCTGGTCTGGAAGCTTGAGCATGGTGTGCACGTGTGTGTGTGTGTGTGTGTGTGTCTGGACATCTGTGCAGCCGACAGTCTTCTCCCTCAGCAGATGAACAAACAGAGGCTCCAGTCACCATCTCTGTTATTGTTGTCATCCGATCATGCCGTCGTGCATCAACTGACAGATGGCAGATCCCAAATCAGATTCGACTGCTGCTAAAATCAAATGAGCCGGACCACGTCCCGCCATGTGTCCAGGAGGGAG